GGGTCAGGGGTGCCCAACCCCGGAACCCCGCACCCCCGCCGGGGCCCCGGGGGCCGGGGCTCGACAATGACGAGGTTAGATGGGCAGGGCCTGTTTCTCATTGTACATGTTCTCAAGCTCCAAATCCCATTGGGGCTGCATGTGATTCCCAACGCTTATTGGAACTCCATTACGATGGCTCTACCCCCTATCAGGAATTGCAGACTGTCATTCTTGACTCTCCCTCTTTGTTAATGCCAACCAGGGGTACTATTGGAGGTGGTATGAGCATCCCCCAATAGTACGCCTGTGGGTGCCTCCGGTCTATTAGTGGCAGGGGAGCTACGCTTGCTGGAAACCGGGTCCAGCACCCTCTTTTATGAAGACTTCAACAAAGCACTGTGATCAGACTGCTCATGATCCAGCTGCACCGATTCCCCTGGTGAACGCAGGGGATTTTATTATTATTATTATTATTATCATCATATTAATATATTATAGTATAGTATAGTATAGTATAGTATAGTATAGTATTTATTATTTTATTTTTTAACTGAACCCATTACTAGGGAAAGTGATAAAAGCATCCTCCGGTAGTACAGGCTGCGGTGGTCCAGTCTATTGGTGGGGAGAGCTACGAAAGTGGGTCCAGCATCCCCTTGGAAACAATAATGATTAGAAAATTGTGAGAAAAAGGGGGGGATTCCTGCCAGCATTGACTGCCCCAGGGGAAACTGGGGGGTTCACTGTGCCGGTGCCGAATTGAGGGCTGCCTAAGTTACCTCTTCACCCATAAGAGGGGTGCCTGATATGCACAAATCAGCACTGGCATATTTATCAATATAACCTCTGGGAGTATCACCTTGTGGCTGGTGTCAAACTTCAGAATCCTGACCACGATGGAATGCCCGCTAGCACTGCGTCTGGCGCACGTGCGCCGCCCATCTGCGCGATTGTCACGAGTGTTCGCGCATGATGATACTCGCACGCGAGGGTGCTCGCACAAGGGTGCTCATGCGTGTGTGAAGCGTGTTAATGCACTCTTCAGCGCGCGCGCGCGCGCTCGCGCAGGAAGGTGAGCGCCAGGGAGTGTGAGTGGCCGAAATCTACGACGAGCATGGAGTGGAATACGGGATGGTGATCAACAGCTTGAACCTCGTCATTTAATGTCCTCTGACTTTTGAAAGCACGTCAGTGCCATCTCTCTGCTTCGCGCTTCATGTGAGTGATGATGCAGGCTAGCATGCCGAAAAGGAGGGGGGTATTGCTTGGTATTGAGTGGTACTTCAGGACTAATCACTAGTACTCTTCATCTTGCGAATTTAGGTGGAGGATGATCGGTTCATCGCGAGAAGAAGAAGAATTCAGTGTGTCCCGCGTGGTGGGAGGAGGATTGTGGGGGATAATGAGTGGGCGGTCTTCGAAGTTGGAGCCCAAGAGCAGCTAAGTGTTCGTCACAAGAGGGTAAACTTCAACTCGTCTTCAGGTCATTGGCTGATCGCCACCCGTTCTGCTTCAGTTGAGCGTCAATCACAAGAGATCATCATCGGCAACAGCACAATCATCATCCATCATCATTATCATCATCGTTTTTTAAGTTGTGTTGAGATATGGGTTCATCATCATCATCAGTTTCGTTTTCTTCAGTTGTGTCGTGAAATGGGTAAGTAGGGATGTTTTGGGGAAGAAATCTTTTTCTCTATTCCTATTCTATTCTCTTACCTCTCATCTTTTCTCCTTCCTTCTCTTCTACTTTTACCTTCCTGTTTTTTGTCCTCGCCTACCAGCCGTCACTCGTCACGGGACACTGCAAGCTCATTTGACTCGCCGCAGCTGGTTTGTTACAGGGCTGCGCAAGGGCTGGTTGGGTTGTGCGCGGGATGGCAGGGCGATGAGGATGAGGGAGGGAGAGGGAGAGGTAGGGGAGATAGAGAGGTAGATAAGATAGAAATAGAGTTGGGTGAGGGGGG